GGATGGCAAGCTGACTTGATTCGAAAATTGGTTGTCTCCACCCGCTCACGGCCCTGGGAAGCGTGCTCCTGAGGCCCGGACCGACTCCAACATTTTGGAGATCGATCTTCAGGCTGGCCAGCCCCTTGAGCCGGCTGAGATTCTCTGCCAGCATCAAGCAAGGCTGGAGGCCTCGATACAGCGCTGAATTTCTGACAGAGTTTAAAGGCCCAAAGGGTTCACAGAACTGCTTGCCATCGCTTCCTGAGGAACAAAAACCTGAATTTTCCTGCAGGACTCAGCGTAGTACTGATACTAATCTATATCCAGCAGCGGTACTCGGATTTGGGCTGCAGTATCGTCCTTCCCAGTTTAAGTCGTTCAAAAGAACGCAAGAACCTTTAACTTCTGTGGCCCGGCCTCGCACTCCTCTCGCTTCACTCTGGAGCAGACTCTGGGCACCCGGCCGATCTGGTTATGCTGCAACTTCATGTCAAGCCGCACGAGGTCCTTGAGACCGCCCAAAGAGTTGGCCAGCGCGGAGCCGGCGGCCGGACCTCAACGCCCGCACAAGCGCTTCTGAAAAATCATACTATTTGGTAATTAACGATGAATAATGTAGTCGCAGAACAACGAAGCTGGGAGGTAACAGGGATCATGGTCAAAATGGGGTTTGCCTTTACATGTCCCTGCCCACATGAATTTAGTATTGCTCACATGGTCCCCTCCTCCAACATGTCATGGGTGGTGCTTTGGGAAGGGCTCGGGTCTATATCCCACTCGCGTAGCCAGGCCTGGAGTTTAGAAAGTACATGAACCAACATTCGATGGCTGCAGAACGTGAGTCAGGGCCGTCAATAGTAGTCAATAGTATCTTTTCATGTTGTACGATGATAAATTAGTAGTCGTTGTTGTTGATGAAGTTAAACCTCTCTGCGCATCCTGCGTGCTGGACATGAAAACCAAATTTGTTGCAGTTTTTCGCGTCGGCGTGTAGGGTCGATGCCGAGGCTGCATGATATTCAGCTAGGAGGTTTAAGGAGTTTAGTGGCAAAACGAATTTGAGATGATCCCCTTCCTTTTGGCATTCTTTGCCAGAAGCACTGTTGCTGGCAAGAACTTGTTCCGCTCCCAGGATCTCGGAACCCGGGCCAAGCTCGCACGCATACAGGATGAGATCCAGCTTGGTGAGTTTCTGGAGGTGGCCGAGGGCTTGCGCCAGGGACTGGCCGCCCTCTGGGCCTCGGCGGCAGCGAGCGCAAAATGGAGCATTTGATGCAGAGGCTCTCCCAGCTTGGACAGTTCATGCAGTTTCATGCGTAGATAGGTTTGACACTGAATTCGGGCTGGCAGGGTCCTCGCAATGTCAATGTATCCGCCGGCATCAAGGCCCTGGCTCAGCTGGACTTCGTGCATATAGAACGTTAGCTCTTGGAGCTCCTGCAGGCTGCTAAAGGCCTCAGGCAGGGCGACCGCGGCTTCTGAGCCTCGGCATAGAAGGGACAGGGACATAAAATACGAAATTGGATACGGATTCAGAGGCTTACTTCCCGGGAGCTTGCAAGTGCTATCGGAAGTCTGGAAGATGTTAACTGGAAGCATAGAATCTTGTGTGCTCCATTCTGTCTCTTCTGCTGCTTTCCTTCCTCCAAACCTCCCTTCCTTCCTTCCTTCCTTCCTTCCTTCCTTCCTCCTTCCGGCGACGGCCCAGCTCCTTGGCCTTGGGACGTGGGCTGGCCTGCTGCCGAGGCGGCGCGCGAGCGCAGACTCTAACCGAAATGCTCTTTTGCCCCATGACACTGAAAGACCTCCTTGGATGCAGCCAGCTAGCCCACGGAGTCCGAGGGGTGCTTGCCGAACTGGCAATTGTAGAGGATAAGTGTGGTGAGCTTTGGGAGCCGGCCAAGGGCATGCACCAAGGCGTGTCCGGCCTCGGGGCCTCGGCGACAGCAAAACCGTGGAGATGTGAAGTGCAGTGCTCGAATGAGTTCGACACTCCAGTGTTCATCTTGGACACTTCATACACTTCCCAGGCGCAAGACTTATGTGCACCATAAACTGAAGCGGTTCAATTGGGGGTTGCACCCATACACGTGTCAACATAGGTCAGGGCGCAAAGTGGTGTTTCTTGTTTGAGTGGCTGCCCTTTGTTTGGCTCACTGGCTTTGTAGACTATACAGGACACCCTGTATTGCCTTCGCTGCCTCTCCTTGAAGTTATTTTATATATTTTATACTTCGAACATCCCCACCCTACAGACACTCTGGGGATAGTCCAGAATGGATACTCTGCTCCAGGACAGTCCACGGACACTCTGGAGATGCAGGGACACCAGCGGGGTGAGCACTCTAGGGACACTCTGGGGTTGGGCATTCCAGAGCCGTGATTTTGGAAGCCGAGGGTGGGGAAAAAGAAACCCCCGACTACTTAATACAGATTGGAAGTGATGTCACGTTGTTCCTCGGACGTTTAGTCCCAGATCCAGGCAGCCAAGCCAACATCCCTTCAACATTTCCTTGTAGGACTTGGGGTCTTGACTTTTTGTTTCAGCCCAGTTCCATTTTGGGCGGTGCTTGCCATTCGTCGGGTAGTCCCTTCCCACACCCCCACGCCCGCATGCATACACATTCCAACGCAAAAATGCTAAAGATCATGTGTCGCATGTGTTTCGATTCCGAAAACACAGAAACATGAACATCACGAGAACAATGCTCATGATCGTGATAACCCCGATGCTGCTACCAGTACACTCGCAAGACGACCAATCCGTGTGACTCACGACTGCACTGGACTGCACATCCCGCACTCCTTTCAAAGAATGAAGTCGATTTGTTGCTGAAGGTCAAAGTGCTGCAAGATTTCATCCATCAGCTGCAACAGTGGCTCATGAACACAATCACAGTCGTAGCAACAGTAGCAGTGGCAACCGTCCACATTGTGCAGATTTTCCACAACAACATAAGAGCTTTAAAAGAGCGCTGATACTGCTACGAAAAAATGCAACACAACTGACGGAAAAAAAGGGTAGCAATCAGGCAGGCCATTGCAAGTACAACTACAGTCAGCTTAGCAGTTCTATCATGCATTATCGCAAAGATAGCAACGGCAAAAACCCAAATCCGAATAGCGCTCAGAATGAAAGCAATAGCAAGAAAACTCATGTATGACTTTGCCCCCGCCCCTTTCTTCTTCAGGGCTGAGGCTTGCCCGAGCAAAGAGCTGAGGCTTCAGGCATTCCCAGTAAAGGTGCCTGCTCCCCTGTTTTGGGTCTACCAAGCCCTCGGGCGCTGGTCCCTTCCCAAGACCCTTCCCAAGACCCCAAAAAAAACAAAGTCACTGAAGCGCCATCCCGAAAGAGCTGCAAGAAAGATGCTCGCCATTAACTCGAAGCACCAAGTACTCTCTCACTCAGATCATGGGACCCTGGCCCAGCTCAATATGCATCATTTCGAGCTGCAGATGCTGAAGCTCTCGGAGCCCGCTCAAGGAGTCGGCCAAGGCGGCGACGGTCTCTGGGCCTTGTGTTCGGGGATCCGTCTGCAGCCAAACAAGACAAAATGTTGGAGGCTCTAAATCCTGAAAGTACATGCCCAAAGAAATACAACGAAAGACAGCAAAAAACGTAAGAAAATACCGAAATACATAAAGAAAGACAGACAGAGGGAGAGGGAGAGAGAGCGAGATGGAGAGACGTGGGCGAGATGAGAAATGAAAGAAAACTGAAAACGGGAAATTAAAGACGGAGATTAAGGATGTGATGTCAATCAGTGGGTTGCCGCCTGCAGGCCTGAGGGCGGGAACGGGGTACCACAGGGACAAGGCAGCTTTTTGGTCTGACTTTTTTTGGCATTCACAGCGGCCTCTTCGGGTTTCAGGCTTCGATAAAGGCGACACAAGGACAACAACAACACACAGGTCCTTACTGTACCCTGCCCTTCGCACAAACGCGCAAACCCCAAAATGTAAATCCCTGAGGCCCCGGCCGAAGGGGTTTAACATCAGTTCCAGCGACAGGACAGTGAGCTCTGGGAGCTGACCGAGGGCTTTCGCAAGAGAGTGCCCTTCCTCAGGGCCTCAGCGCGATTGAGTGTTTTTCACACCGTGGAAACACGAAGTACGTCTCAAATGAATTCATACTCACCGGCAAGACATGGATGGAGTTAAACTCAAGCTGCGACTTTAACTGGTGTACATTATGCGCTGAGAACAAATTAGGTCGACATGCGTGGTTGGGTGAGTTGTTCGCAATGTTCGCATCGCGTGTCCAACTTGAATGTATTCACAGGGTCGCCATGCGTCTAATGGAGAGTCGGCAATGTTGATGTCTCGGGGATGGTTGACACACATGGACACCGAGTAGGAAAACCGTCAATCAACGTACGCAAAACGCACATGTCCGACATGTCCAGCTCCTAGGGCCCCGGCCAAGCTCGCACGAGTGCACGTCGAGCTCCAGCGTGGTGAGCTTCTGGAGGTGGCCGAGGGCTTGCGCCAGGGACTGGCCGCCCTCTGGGCCTCGGCGGCAGCGAGCGCAAAATGGAGAATTTGAAGTGCAGAAGCCTGGAAAGCGGCAGCGGTGTAGTTTTTTGTTTGGATGGGTACCACGCCAAGCCGACCGGCATGGACCCTAATTTCCTCGACCTACATGGACCCTGCGAAACCCCTGCCCCATGCACCTGCCATGGAGTTCTGTTGACCCCCTGCGAACCCATATGCTTCTCTATGAACCCCTATCAACCCTGGACCTGCTCTGAACCTTCTATGGAACCACGAACCTCATGTCCTGGCATTCATCAACCCTCGGCACCCCGACCCACCTTATGGCCGGCTACCATGGACCTTTTTTCTTTTGATCCTTTATGGAGACTTATGGAGCGCCATGGACCTCGTGGACTTGGTGCCTACTCGACCTGCAGAAGAACTCTATCCGAAATGCCCACATGCATAAATGCGGCGTTAAAATTCGCTCAAGCAGCGTTGCCATACATGTGGATCAGTACCCGGCCTTCCCGCCCCACTCCGGGACCCCTGCCCAGCTCGTTCCAACCCAAGTGGAGATTCAGCAGCTGGAGCTCCCGGAGTCCACCCAAAGCGTCTGCGAGGGCGGCGGTGGCCTCCCGGCCTCGGCACCGGAACGGAGGAAAATTCCAGGGCGTGGGCAGCAAGGCTCCAACATAAAAAATGTGAAGAAACCTGTTTATAATCTCGGATGTGTTGTCAACTGTCTGGAAATTCACATGCACTGCTTATAAGCTGCCAGGAACAAGATGCGCTGTCAAGCTGGTAAGCTGTCTGACTGGCACACCTGCGATGTCCTGTTGCTGACACAAAACGGGTTTACACCAGTGACATGAAGGCTGCGCCGGAGACGTGATGACAACTTGATGACGTTGCGCGAGCGGAGGAAAGTTCTACTGGCCGTCTCGCAGGGTTTTCTTTCCATACGACTCATATGACCTGAGTCGCAGCGCTGCAGGCAGCAACGTTGCAGGTGGCACGTGTTGAGTCGGTCGGGCGCTGTGAAGACGTTCGAACCCAGGTTGCGTAGCATATAAACATCGGCTGCCAGGGCGCTCATGTTCATGTTCGCAGCTTGTCCGTTTGGGCAACCGCGTATTCGAAACTGTATGTTGTTCCGAATCCTGCATCTGGTGCTGCTGACATGTCTTGTTCTCGGCGAGTGCTGCTTCACAGTCAGGCACTCATTACAAGAGATCCAAGAAACCATCGAAGAGAAGATCATGGAAAAGGAAAGGCTCCGCTTGAAGCAAAGCCCGATAGGCCAGGGCAAAGCGCAAAGATTCCGCAAACCCTGCCGGAGGCGAGTTCGGGCCCAGCCCGAAGAAGCAGAGCTCGGTGCCCGAAGTGCTGAGAAACATCTTTCGTTTCGTGCTTGTCCAGACGCTCACGGCTGCCGACCGTGTTTGCTTCTTTGGCGCGGGGGTCTGGGCAGAGTGTCTAGGAGGTGTTTTTAAGTGGTGTTCTGAGGCTTCAAGGCCAATGCGTCACTGACAGGGGAGGAAAGCCCTTTAATTAAAACCAAAACCCTTTCTCCAGGCCCTAGGCCCTGAACCTTAACCCTGCAACCCTGAAGCGCAAAGCCGAGACCTTAACAACTTGCTTCAAGCAACCCTCCCGTTTACGGAGGGCCCTCGCTGCTGGGGGTGGGCATCACGAGCAGCCCTGGGCTGTGTCTGTAGGGGTGAAACCCTGAGCTTGTCAATGCCAGGGCCAACCTTGAATCCTGCAAGGGATAGATTTGCAGCCTTGGAGAAACTGCTCCGCGCAAAGTGAGGTATGAACCCGTGTGAATCTTGTTATCTCCGTACGCCCACAGTTCATCTTGCTGTGCTCGCAGTAGCGAGGGCTCAGAGCTCAGTGTGCTTACACGGCCACATGGCCGACACGCAGCAAGCAGCATCCAACTTTTTGTTGGTCTCTCTGCGACCGACACCACTGTGGGGCTTGGGGGGCCCGGCCCAGTTCGTGGCCGCCCAAGTGGAGCATCAGCTGCTGGAGATCCTGTTGGCTGCTCAAGGCATCGGCCAGGGAAACAGCAGCTTCCATGCCTCAGCGACAGGGAGCAATCGAGTGCGTCCAGGGCTTCTCACACATGCCTTCGTGATTATTGTTGTGATATCGTTTGAGGCCCTGGCCGAACAACCGAATCTTGAAGGTTCAGGAGGGTACGACACAAACCCTGCAAAACTAACTCACAAGCGGGGTTTCTATATCGGGGTCCTTTGGGCTTCAGCCAATTGCGGCATTCTTAGGATCTTGACGAAGAAATGTGCCGTGTGTTCAGTGCTCCAGACTAGGGACTCCACAAGGGGCATTGTGGGAGCGGTCCTTCTTCGCTGCACTTGGCAAGGCCGGAAAAGCTTGACTTCATGCCCCTCCCAATCTCGCTGCCACATGCTCCAGCAAGCAGCGGTCGCTCACAGACTCAGGACTGGTTGCGGCCAAATTTTGTTGCCTGTTTTCTTAGGTTGCTGAGGGCCGCGGCCCTGGTCTGGGATTGCATTGAGCACATGCAAGGCGGAGGGCGGCGGGATGTTCAGGCACCAAACTTCGCACCCGGCACGATTCAAATTTTCAGCAAGCCCCCTGACGCTCGGAGAATCCGAGGCAAGCTGGCAAGCCAAAACTTCCGAGGCGGACGCACGCAGCATTGCCAATGAAAGCGTTTAGAGGAAACTTCCGAATTGCAATCAAGGGCGCAGAAATTGTGGATGTATTTAGTATTTGCTGCTGGGGGAAGCCGTCACCTGGAAAAGACACATCTTCTTCCCGCCTCTGCCGCTCCCGCAGGCTTCAGGGGCCCCTGCCGATCGAGCCCGAGTGGAAGCCGCTGAGCTCCAGCTTCCTGAGCCTGGGGAGTTGGCCGATGCCCCGCGCAAAAGCCGGGCTGGCTGGGCCTCGGCAACCGCTGGCGCCAGAAATGCAAAAGGTGCAAATGACCAATATGCCTCCCTTGAACACTTCACTTCCCAGGAGCAAGACACAGGCTCAAATTTAATGAGCCGACTTTAGGCGATCCAGTGCGAGAAGCCGCTGTGCACGCAATATCACGCAGTCCCAAGCCGACCCAACGTGGACACCCTTGCCCACGACGGGCGAAAGGTGATCAGACTGATCTGATCAACCACCTGTAGCTGCAACAATGAATAGCATGGATGATGGCTCTAACCTCTTTTATCTTCTTCACTGCCTTCTCTTTGTTTCACCGCTTTGGTGTATTTTGGTCTTCTCCCCTTGCCCCTTCGTTGTGACGGTTGTTTTCTTGCGCATATCCCACGAGCTCCAGCACATCCACGTTAAGCATACCAGCAGCACATCGTTCAGCATCGAGGGCCAGATGGAGTTCCAGGCACTGCTTTTCATGCCCACGCCTTTCCACTTTTCGAAGAAGCTCAACAACATGAAGTTGTACGTGCCCCACGTTGTCATGATGGACGGCCAAGTCTCGGAGGGCTCTCGTCCGCTCCCCCAAACCTTCCCGTCAACCGGGTATCGCGCTCTCCCCGCTTGTCCAGAAATTACCGCTCTCTTCGCGAACCGAACATCACGCTCCCTGCAGCAATGCGGCCTCCCCGTCCCCCCTCCTTCCCTGCCAACTCGGATAGCGCACTCCCTCCCCCTTGTTTTGCGGCTCGCCAGCGGCTTCCCTGTCAACTGGATATTTGGCGCTCGCCCCCCGCCCCCCTCCTCCCCCGCGGCGTTTTGTCGATCCCTGGTCTCCCTGTCACCAACGCCGTCAACCGTTCCCCGTCTCCTCTCCGCGGCCTCTATACCGTCAGAACGTCATCCGATATCGTGCCTCCGCGCTGAAGCACTTAACGAGAAGCCGACCCCAGAGAGGTTTCCGAGGAAAAACGCGTGTCCCTCAATCCCATGTAAAGTTGTAAAGGCTATTGTGGCTTCGAGAACTGCATAGGTCGGAGTACCAATGCATCCTCCGGATCGGCACCCCAAGCCCGTTGCCGTCCAGGACGAGCTTCAGCTGCCGGAGCTCTCGAAGGCCACTCAAGGCTTCGATCAGGGCGATGGCGCCGTCGGCACCTCGGCTGGCGAATCCACTGCTTCACCAACCAAAAGGTCAGAAACCTTTAACGGGTTTGAAGCGGCATTTTCCAGCTCATTTCCTTTGGAGACCGAAAACCTCGCCTCTCTCCTGAAGCCATTCGGATTCAAGATCGGGAGTGTGTGTGTGTGTGTGTCCTATCGCATGCCGTGGCGAAGAGCCTCCGTTTCCCAGCAGGCCGCCGCGTTACGACTCCTATAGCTATGTCCTAAAGCAGAAGCTGGTATTGTCAAGCAACCGCTGGACTTGATGTGGGCTGCCAAGGTACAACTATGCATCGGTGCTCTCGCCAGCCAAGCCGCTAATCAATCCGAATACAATGTTGCACTGGCTTTAGTATGACTAGGGTCTACAATCACAAGTTTTGCAACATGTATTCTGCGAACTCAGTTTGACCTCCCGCTATAATCACATTTTTTGATCGCGGGGACCTTTTTCAGGGTCTGTGGATAAGTTTGTGTTTCGGGTTCAGGGTGAAGGGTTTGTCTGACTCCTGTGTGAGAGCCATACCCCGGAGACTCCAGGAAGCTAAGCTTGGCCGGTTCCATTCAAAGCCTTTTGGAATTTCATTCCGAAACGAGGACCCAAACAAATTTCCTACAACGCAGCCTTCATTCATGTCCCAGCTCACAGGCCCTGCATGAAACTATGCTAGCGTACCCACACTCCGCGGCGCGAACAATGGAGAAGCTGACGAGGCATTTCCTCTGTTACAAGTGCTCTCCGGCTTGAGGCCCTTTGGCGCACTAGCCTCCTTCCAGCTGCATGAAGGTCCCTAAATCTACGGGCAACGTGGAAAGGTAATGGCATGCCTGGCTGCCTCAGGTCATCCCGAATTTTGAAAATCGGGCAGAGCACGGCGTTACTCATGGGGAGAAGAGAACGTCACCATGCAAGGATGGCTTTGTTGGGTGTCCCAGGGCCCTGGCCGAGCTGGCACTGCTCGAGGCCGAGCTCTAGCGTGGTGAGCCCTGGGAGTCGGCCAATGGCTTCCGCGAGGGACCGGCTGCCCTCGAGACCTCGGCGAACGCTGCGGAGCTTTACACTTGCCAACTTGGGACACCTCACAAAACATATTCCAAATGCATTTGGGCTGCAAGGGCACGTCGCAGCCCTTCTATGTCTACAGTCAGAGTACATCCATCGAATCGGAGCCCTTTTTCTCAGGTCCCGGGACTCCCGGCCAAGCTCCGTCTCAAACAACTCGAGCTGTAGCTGCTGGAACCCCGGAATCTTTTGAAGCCCGCTCAAAGTACCGGCCAGAGCGGCTGCCTTGGTACCTCGGCGCCGGGGAGAGGATCTTAACCCAGACCAAGGACAGAAACCTTTGAACTCTTGCTACCAAGCGTTCAGAAAAATCTCACAAAATTCCTTGAAAGTCCGAATTTCCTCTCGCGCAGCAGGAAGCATTATCATCTTTGGTTTGGGTCTTTGCCTTGTTTTGGTCTTCTGCGCGGAAGGCAACGCCTCCGGCTGAGGCCAGCTTTTGCTCTCTCAGTCTCACTCTCTCACTCTCACTCTCACTCACACTCTCACTCTCACTCTCACTCTCTCGCTCTCTCTCTCTCTCTCTCTCTCCCTCTCCTTCCTTGCCACCCTCTCTGTCCCTCTCTCTCTCACTCTCTTTCTTTCTTTCTTTCTTTGTGTCCTTCTTTCCTTCTTGGAGATTGGGGTCAAGGGCCTGTGTATTTGGGGCGACTCGGTGACCGTACGGGCGGGGTCAATGAGTGGGGTCCTTGGTCACGCTTCCCTCTAGGCCCCCGGTCAGTACACTGGTCTACTATCATCTCGGGCGCGTGAAACTGTTGTGAGACTGCGCTCGGGCTGCACTGCTGCCTTGCCCCACACTCTCTCCCTCTCCCTCTCCCTCTCCCTCTCCCTCTCCCTCTCTCTCTCTCGCTCGCTCGCTCGCTCTCTCGCTCTCGCTCTCGCGCTCTCTCTCTCTCCCTCTCCCCCTCTCCCCCTCCCCCTCCCCCTTCTCCCCCCTCCCCTCTCTCCCCCTCTCCCCCTCTCCCCTCTCCCCCTCTCCCCTCCCCCTCTCCCCCTCTCCTCCCCCTCTCCCCCTCCCCCCTCTCCCCCTCTCCCCCTCTCCCCCTCCCCCTCTCCGGGCCATGCTTCCACGTGAGACAGCAAAAACACCGCTTTAGCACGAACACTCCGTCAGGGATCTCTGGGGTCCTGGTCCAGCTTAGGGAATGGATTGGTAACCTTTCTACGACGAGCATGTAGAATTGCTTTCTGACAACTAAAGAGTCCTAGAACAAGAACATGCTGCGGACGGAGGACTTTTCCCAGCCCGCCACCCTATGCAATTCCTCTTGCTTTGAAGATGATCTACAATGCGGCGCTCATTGGCGCGCGGCTTATGCTTCAAGGTATGCTTCTACGGACGCCCAAACGATGCCCCAAACGATCCCTTAAACCCCAGGCACGGGCCAGCCTTCTTTTACACGAAAGTATTTTGTAGTGTCAGCCCGTTTGTTTAGGAAGATCCCTCCGCTGTCAGCCCGTTTGTTTAGGGAGAGCCCTCGCCGCATCATAAGCATCCTTGCGCTTTCGCTGGAGGGCATGATGAGCATCCTTGGGCTGTGTCTGTTGGGGCTTTTACGTAGGGGTGCGGCCCTAAACCGTAGACCCAGCAGAGGTCCTAAACCCTGAGCCAAAAGGCCAATGCCAGGGCCAACCCTGAATCTGCTCGTGGTTCATCTTCTTGTGCTCGCGGTAGCGAAAGCTCAGGGCTGAGACCGTGACATGACACCACTCTGGGGCTGGGTCCCCCGGCCCAGGTTGCTGCCGCCCAAGCGGAGCATCAGCTGCTGGAGCTCCTGTAGACTGCTCAAAGCATCGGCCAGAGAGGCGGCAGCTTCCATGCCTCAGCGCCAGGGAGAAATCGAGCGCATCGAGGACTTCTACTAGCTTTCTCAACGCAAGTCGAGAAGCCTAACATCATTGCCACCTTGGATCCCTGTTATTGGCGGCATTGCAAGACACTAAGGCTTCTGGATTCCATGTGGTCGGGCCAGCAGATCTGCATTTTAACGCGGGACGGCTCCAAGGGATCCGTCTCTTGCAGTGGCGCCTAGGGTGTATACACTTGTAGACAAGCATGCATGCATACATACATGCAGAATATACGATACTGTAGTATACTACACTTTGATATACTTTACTAACCGTTATCTAGAAACATATAGGATTGCCTGTCTCGTAAACTATAGTGGTGTCTGTATAGTACACTATGTTTCGTCTATAGTATAAAATATAAAGATAAGACGATATCATCATATACACACCGTGGCAAGTCGAAGTCCCCATGGGGAAGTACATCAGCGGAGAAGCACCCTTTCCTAGCACGCCAGCACGCCTTCCGTGACTCCTGTGAGTGCACAAGCCGCGAAGAACCCTGCAAGAAGTCCTACCAACGTGTGAATGTTCATCAACAAGATATACCAACGTATGAACGTTCATCAACAAGATATGTTTATTGAAGCTGATCTACATTGCGGTGCTCATTGACTTGGGGTTGCTGCTTCAAGTCATGCTTCTGCAGACCCCCAATTATTTTGCAGAAGCCCTTCCTTTCTGCAGTTTGTTACGGACCTTTGCTGATGCAACTGCATGCCATTCGCGTATGCAAAACAACTTTTCGTTTTGCGACTTCCGCTCCTAAACGCGACTCACAGAGAAAGAGCGCCACAAGTACTTCCACAGTGGCTGAACATCTAGCGAGAAGGAGTCATAAGACAGAACACAGCCAGCCCTGTGGATACAGTACTCTTGCAGCAGAAAGGCGCCGATATGAAAGGGAGACCCAAGCCAGCCAGGATTGCCCGCGCACTCTTCAGCTTTGTTTCCGTCATGCGCATTTCGGTCCACTTGAACCATAATGCTCCATCATGTTCCATCCTTCCCCACCTGTTCTGAGTTAAAGCCCAGCTTAGAAACTTGATAGCTGTCGCTACATGTGGACTATAATGCTGCAGATGCCTAGTTTGTTGTTGCAAAGCCTTGAGAGCTAGGTCGGGGTGCAAAGTCAGCAAAGACGCTGGGATTGGAGCCCGCCCCTCTCACCCCCTCGCTCTGGTTCAGGGGCTCCCGGCCCAGCTCGCGCAAGCGGAGCTCGAGCTGCCAAAGCTCCGGCAAACAGGGCAAGCTGTCGGCCAGGGCGGCGGTCTCCTCCGGGCCTCGGCACCAGGCATAGTTGACCGAAAAAGAGGACAGAAACCCTGGGAAAGGCTTTGTCAGCTGGTGCCGAGGTTTTGCCAGGTATATAGGTCCATGCGCGAGTGCATCCCAGCGATTGCCTTGTCATTGGTTTTGCAGTCTTGGCTTTACATCCCTGTCCTGGGCAAGCCTGCAAACACAGCATCACAAGCCGGGTTGGTCAAAGAACCTCTCTACGTCTTGCTGTCTTGCGAACAGCCTCGTGAACTTTGAGATGTTTCTGAGCTGAGCTGCTGTTGCCGCAGGGTTCCAGCTTCGCTAAAAGAGAACAACTTATCGCGTCGAACATCCCCACCCACGAGAGTATACTTGCCGGGAATACCCATTCTACTAAGACTAGACGTCAGATGGGTAGGGACGTGTTGCTCATGCAGCACCCATTGTACAGATCATCTTGTTGCTGCAAGCTTGGCGATGCCCAAAAAACGGAGTGCACGAGCTTCCTCTGAAATCAGTAACTCCATCTGAGTCGTGCGTGGATTTCTGAAAAAGGAATCAGCAGCTGTCTTTTCAGCATTGCTGGAGGATTCTCCGTCCTTCTCGTCGATGCCCTTGTGGTTTCAGGGTTGAGCTGCTAAGGGCACCAAGATCCGAGGCCCTTCATGGAGATTACAGGGCGAAGAAGGTCGGGGGTTCCGGGTGTCCCTCAGGGGCCCCAACCAAGCCAAACGTTGAGCTCCAGATTGGTGAGCTTGTGGAGCCGCCTGAGGGACTGTATCAAAGGGCGCGCTTCTCGGCCTGAGCGACGAGCACCAACACAAGGGATGCTCATCCAGCATTTCAGCTCTCATGGTTCCCGGCCTAGGACAACTTCCATGTGACAGTCGTCTTGGAGCTTGAGCTGGCGGAGCTCCGGCAGGCTGCTCAAGGCATCTTCGAGGATGCACGCGGCCTCTGGGCCTGGACACCGGCAACCCAACAACGTTGTCAATTTTGGGTGTGGGGCGGTGCGGGGTTCTTCTTCCAAAAGCCGCGAATTCCACTGTAAGATGGGCAGCGCATGTGAACATTAACCTGCGTCATGAAATCCTGGAACCGATCATCGGGCTCCCCAGCTCATTTCGCCGTAGCTTACCCAGTGCAGCGACAGCTGGCGGAGCATGCCGCAGTGACGCAGTGCCGGGGCCAGGCCAGGGAATTTCTCAGCTCCAGTCCTGCCTCGGCAGTTCAAAGCTCCTCCATGACCCTCTCAGCTGCGCCCTCTCCGGCAAACACTCATGCCAGGCCAGCTCTGGGCCACCGACTGAGCAGCATCAGATTCTTGCACTGTGGGCCGAGTCCTTCGCAACAACTGCTCAACTTGGCCCTTTGCTCAACGTGCTGGAATCGATAGTCCGACTCAAAATATTGTCCTTGTCCCAAGATCTCCCCGTCTAGAGGTGCCAGGTGCTGCAGTCCGCGCAGATCCAAGCGCATCGTCTCGGAAGGGTCCAAGTTACCCAGGACTTTTGGAGCTCTAGGTTGGTATCCATTCAAATACGCCTGCCTGGATCCAAGTCTGATGCTGACTTCAGGCCTAGCTTCTGCATCCGGGGTATTTAAACATGGACCCTGGTGTATTGCGGGCAAGGAAATGGTTGGGGGCAGCCCCAATTCCCACCCAGAAAAAAGTGCTTGGGTCATGCTGGCATGCGTGGCCCGAGCGTGCGTCGTCTCCATCATGAGGAGGTAACGCAGGGCACCTGGATTGTAAGCTACAGCCTTCCTCCCTCAACAGCCCACCACTTCAAAACACAAAGCCCATGAAGCTGGCCTCGGAGCATGGGCTGCACTTGCGCCTGCTGGAAGGCCCTGCACCAGCCCTGCTCGTGTCGGGTCTCGGCCGAGGAGGGGCTGCAATGGCTGCAACAGGCTTGAGCAGGCTTCGCTGGCCACGAGTCTGAGCCCCAGGCTGAAGGCTCCGACTCCCTCCAGGCCTGGCAAGAAAAGCCAGAAATTGCATCCTACTTTCTCTTGGTAACCTCACCTCCGTATGCCCGAGCCTCTGCACCCAGCAGCTCATGCATCCGCAGATGGTAGATCTGCGCCTGGCTGTTCGAAGCCCGCAGGCAGCATAGGCTGCTAGGCGAATGCAGACAACAGCATCGTGCAAGCATGGAGGCTGGACCGCATTTTGCCCAGCTGCAGGCTCCAAAAAACTCAGGTGGCCTCTGAGGGCCTCGGCGAAGACCGCCTGCACTGGGACTCCGAAAATATCTTGCCGGAGCGACATGCCCAGGTGGCAAGGTCATACAAACACTCCCAAGCATTCGGGCCGAGGAAGGAATTCAAGGTCTACTCCGACGATAAAAGCTTTGAGGTATGTACGAGGTGGTAAGTCAAAGCAAGGCTTATGGGACTTGCAGCATCTGCATCGCAGGCTCATTCATGGCTCCCAAAATGCTGTCTTGGAGCGAAAGCAATCAATGACGCACGATGACAAAACAAGACCACTCATGACTTCACGTCTATTCTATGGGCCGGCACCTTGTTGCCTGCGAAGTCTTCTTCAAACAGAAGCCGCTGGCCGGCCTGCGACAAGACAGTAACAATGAATGTGGTACAGGCCAATTCCGCAGGATGCTAGCCTTCAGCGTTCTGAAACAGGCAGGGCGCAGCAGCCCCCGGAGCCCCGAGCTGCTCGTGCGCTGCTCGGCCTGCAAGGAGTGGCAGGTCCGCCATGTGCTGGACACAGGAAGCTACAGAGCTGCTTAGATGGGTTCCCCCTCACAACCTTTCCCAGATGGCCCAAGCTGCCCTACTCTACTCGACGGGTGTCAGACAGTCGCCTGTGCCAACAAAGTCTCCACTGCATACTGCATCACTTCAAGCTCTGCAGTGGTAGAACTGAGCTCCTCATTTCGGAGAGCTTGTGTCGATCGCAACGAACTGCACCAACAACAGCACCAACGGCTTCCAAACACAGCGGTCCTTGCGCTCTTGGCGATACTTGCCTCAGTCAAGTCTGCAAGCCAGCTTTCTCGCAGCTGCTCATGCTGCAGTCTAAACTCTGTTTGCAAGGCTCGCTTGGGGTTTCTGTGGAAGATGTGGGCGACATGGGTTACTGCGTGGCCCAGCCGTCAATGTAGGGGCCGGCACAAATTTGTTTCGGCTGTGGATTTCGCAGCAACCTTTCTTGTCATGCTTCCGGATGGCTGGATTTAGTAGAAATGTTTTCAAGACATACGAGTTGCTTGTGAGAGTCCCCGATAACACCAGAACAAAGGAAAGCCAGAGCGCTCCGCTGTGGCACTATCCGTTTCCATTTTCAGAACACTACCTATAGTTCAAGACAAAAAGCTTATCTCCTGTTCAAATTCCTGGAAGTCTCGATTTAAAAACCTGTGTTCGGCCCAAATACCGGAAATTGCCTGGCAAAGTGTGTTTCATGTGACTCCGCGGCCTTCTATGAGGCTTTAGTTCAGATTTTGCTGCTCCTCACACAAGCTACGAGAGGGAAATGCAGACTGTATGCGGTGACTGCATGACACGGCAACCGAGAAATCCGCCCAGAAGGCTCGCCATCAGTGGCGTCTGCCAGACCTTCATGCACCGCAAGATCCGGCACCATCACAGCTGGACAGGAACAACCTCCTTAATCGCACCTGGGATGGCAAGGCATGCAATTCTTCTTCTGGACAAGCAGAGATCCTGCTCGGGCGGAGGCAAGCGCAAAGTGAAACATGCCCGCGCAATTGCCCCAACTAACACAGACTTTGGGTTTAGGGCCGCCCGAATACGAAGAGGTCCCAAATGGGGCAAGTGGGGCACGCGAGGCAAGTGTGGCAAAACGAAATTACTTAGTTCTTCCGGACGGGCAAGTGGGGCCAGTTAGGCAACAACGGTTAGTGGATCCCGCTTCGCTCGCAATGAAACACGCGAATCCTGCCCGAAGCAACGTTGTCCCTGCGGCCGGCCTGGCAGCTGCCGGTTCTGTCAGCGGCAACATCTCCAAGGGCCGGAAGCGCAACCTCCGTGCGCGGAGCAAGGCGACCGCAAAGATGTGGAGCAGAGCGAGCGACGAAGTGCGCACAGCAACAGCGACGCACAGCGTCGCAGCCCAGGCTGTGGCCTCGTGGCGAGCTCCATCTGCGCCGTGAACTCCACCATGTGTGTGGGCTCAGCGCCATCAACAACAGCTTGGTCAAGGGTGACGGCGAAGACGCCTGATGCTGAGGCGATTTCAATGATGCTGCCTAGAAGAACAATATTTTCGGCGCTGCTGGGGCAGACAGGGCAGTCTTTGAGCACATAGACTGTGGCGAACAGTATTTCATCCTGTCATCGAATCAAGAACCATTCGGGGCCATTTATCCGAGAGGCGATGTGGTGGCAGCAACCGGACCTCTTGGCCGGAAATATCCAGCAAGTCGCCTTGGTCTGGCAGCGTGGTGGTCATGTGTCCCCTTTCATCCCCTTTCCATTTCTCAGAGGCGGCTGCCCACGCCCACATTCCCGGTGAGGAACAGCGTCCCATCTGCGGTGCTGCGCAGATTCCTCGGACGCTTCTCACTTTGAAAGCACGTGGATATCCTGGCGTTGTCAGAAACTGAGGCCCGGACAATTCCACCTCCTCTGGCTCCCCATCCTGCGGCTCCTCAGCACCCACCGCCGCCTGGTATAGGTACACGTGACACGGGTACCAGTGCTGCCTGAAGTGGTAAGAGAGGAACTGGATGCCCTTGTCCTCTGCACGGCAAGGAGGCTACAACCGTGCTGTGCAAACTATAGTACTTCACACTGCGCACCTCAACATCTATGTTAATTCTAAAAACAAAATTGAGCACAAATGCATCACCAACTTAAAGATTTAGCGCTTACCTCGCGGAAGTAGTACCTCGCAGTGGCCTCAATCAAAACCAAAGCTTCGCAAAACCTAAGACATGGCAGAACCAGCCACAAGCTAAAGAGGGTGACCCCGACTCGAGGAAAAAGCTCAACTACAACGTGGCTTCCTGAGTTTTCAGGACCCTGGCGAGGCTGAGGGCTTCGGTTCGGTAGGTTTTGAGTCAAGGCTGCGGCCCTCTGCGCCTCAATGCTCGAAGCCCCAGTATCGCAAGCGGATCCTGAAACTCACAGCAAAGGGGTTTTGAACTTTTCCTCCCGCGGCCTTTGAAGGCCTCCCCAAAACCCTCCCAAAGGGGCTTGCTGAGACGTCGTCATGAAATCGGAGAGCCACCAGGTTGGCTTCCACTAAAAGTTCAGAAGCTGCTGTTTTTCGGGTTCGGAAAACAAAAAGACAAGGTCCTTCGAGTTTGCCCAAATTGTTCGGAGCCTGCCAAGGGCCTCCCACAGTTTTCTCGAGCAAATTCAAAAAGCCACGTCTTAAGAATAAATTGAACAAAAGAAGAGGTTTTTTAACTTTTCCTTACACCAAGTTACCACCGAATGTGCAGATTTTCACCCGAACTAAAGAATAATCCGAATACCTTTTTTGTTCGCATTGGACACCGACATGCTGCAGGAGAGCACAAAGACTTCTCGACGCCAGTTATATAGCAAAAAAGGGCCTGAAATGTTGAAAGATTTTGTAGTTGTAGTTTTGGGTTTTGGGATGTCGTCGAAACATCTCTCGGGGAGGTCAAGCCGAACGTAAGATGAACCGCTTCGCCCCCCGCTGCCCTTTACGCCCCGTTCGGTTGTGCCCGGGCTGAAGGCCTCCAAAGAACCTGTTGATGCCACGAGGACTCGAGCAAACCAGGGTGAGTTCAGAATGAAGTTTTACCTCCCCGCCCCCCAAAATTTCCAGATGTGTTTCGCAAGCGTGCCTCGCGCTGTCCGGTGAGCTCGCTGAGCTCGGTATCGTTTGTAACGCAGTCTTGCTGGCCACTCGAGCTTCCGACCCGCAGCCTCTTGTGTGCAAACCCAACATACCTCCATGACACGGCTTGGTTCTGGTATCCCCACGTGCTCCGGCAGGTTTCATCCCTTCAGCCGCAAGAGCCCTCGGGCTCTGGCACTGCAAAAAGAAGTCGTGGTTTATAGTGAGTTGGGTCCTTGAGGTGCTTCCCACTTGCATACACAATGCCCAGCTTGTAGGTGCGCTCCGGGTCGCCCTTCTCCTTTCGGAGGGCCTGCTCGAGGAGAGCCCGGGCTGGTAGGTTGTCAGCCCATTCCTGGAGCGTGATCGCAGTGGAATACACCCAGCGCGGGTCCTGCAACGGTCTATCGATCGCCTCTCCTGAGTCTGTGCACACTCAGCTGTCGCAGGGTCCTTGCGGCGCACTTTCATTCGGTGTAAGCCTGGCTGCAGGTCCAACTTCGGCAGAAGGAACGCCTGGCCAAGTTGGCAGCACGCAAACCTTCAGCACACCCTGAGCACACCTTCTTGCACTGCGCCTGCTCCATGGAAACCACCAGGTTCGTGGCCGGACTTCCAGAACTTCTCAACAGCTGGATGTGGCGGCTTTCGGGAGTCTCCTGCACGGTGGTGTCGACCCCCCCTCCCCCCTACTCCTGATGCCTGTCTCTTGCCTTCAACCCTGACGCTGCAAAACATGCACTTGTAGAATCAAGAGTAGTGCGCGACAAGGGCATGACATGCAAAGCTTCTGAATGACTCGTAGATGCTCCGCAAATGCCCGGTCTCGTTGGCTCCCGCGTCACGAGGCAGGTCTCTGACAGCTGGCCCAGCACCGGCAGGCGCACCGCCTCGCGAGCGCTGCCATCCTCTTCCAAGATCCTCAGCTGCCGCACGTCACGCGGAGCATGCAAGCAGAAGCCACTCAAACTGACATTCCGTATCATCGGAGCATACGTTGGCAAGAACCTTCAAACAGCCCTGGATTCTGGATTCACGAAAGCCCCTCTGCAAGAGAAGCCCCGGAGGAAGATTGCATACCCATTAACGCGCATCTCTTTGGCAAATCCTGTATACTATATGTGGTTGAAACTCGGTATCTGGGCGGCTTACATTGTCTTGCATTCCAGGGAGCTGCTCCGTGCCGGATGGCCGGCTAGTCATGATCGCGCAGGTGCAGCGCTGGCTGTGGGCCCTGCTGCCAGAGCCCCGTCAGAACCGCGAGGAACAACGTGCTTTCCACCGTCTGCTACATGCAAGAACTTCTCCATCAGGACTTTGGACTCTTTTAATAAGGCTTACGGTACCTGTGTCCACAGTTGCCAAGAACAAATGCCGGCCGAGAGGCTGGAGCCATGCCTCGAGCCAGCTGAGGATTTGCCGCCGCGCTGCGCCGGCCTCATCGAAGGAATCGAGGACCAGCAGAAGCTGGCGGTCTCCTGGACATGGCCCCCGCGCGGATCCCAATTAATAGCACTTAATAGCTGAAGCAGCTGTCACGCTGACGCACCTTGAAACAGTTCTTCGCTCTCAGCACCAAATGCGTGTTCAGCCCAGCAACGGAGCCTTGGCTTTTTCTGAAGCGGTGATTCAGGGATACCATGAGACACGTAAGATCAGGGAGATGCGAACTGCTGAGATGCAGCCGGGCTGCAAGTCTCCACTTGGATCCTGCCGTTGCTGCTGTCAGGCAACAGGTTTCACGGAGACTTTCCATCCACACAAGAAACCCACTCAAGTGCACCAGTCAAGCCCCCTCGTTGTGTCAAGCCCCTTCCAAATCGGTTCGAAGCTCTCTGCACTTCACAGTCCCGGTCTCGTTTGGCGGCTCTTTTCTCATGGTTCCCTCCCGACACTTGGAGCCCAGCATGACGTTTTCTTCTGCCAAAACACAGTTATACCTGGATCATACGATGAGGACATGACATATGAATGGAGCAATTGATATGTCAACCGTGGCTCAGTCACCGCATGTGACGTCACGACGACGCTGTCCTTCACGTACTGCGCCAGCTCAGCCAGGGGCACGCGGACGGGAAGGATGCTGGGTCCGGCTGCATCCTGGCCTCACTGGTTTTGCACGATTCCGGGAGAGGAGCTCTTCGGGTTTCTGATGTTGGCCGGGTCGAATATGCGGGTTTGAGGGTTTAGGGTTAAGGGTTTGGGGTTTAAGGGTTTAGGGTTTAGGGTGCCGGAAGCACTGCCACACAAAGACTTACTGAGTCCGAAATTCCGGGATGCTTTGGGCGTCCCCTTTCTACTGGCTGTCATAGCTTAGGCCCCAGCTTGCCAAGTGCACCTGACAAGGGGGTGTCCGTGTAATCAGCATGGCGTTCAAACATTGCTTTGGAAATGGAGGACTCCGGCACCATGCTGCCACCGGACAAGCAGCGCATGTACAGTGATTTGCTTTTCTGCACGCCAGGGCGCGACGCGCCGTACGACCTCTCTGGCAAAGACGGTCTTGCCGGAACCTGGAATAAACTGAGCAGGCGCTTTATGGAAAACAGGCTCTAGGCCGGAGTGCTCGAATCTACACCGGCCTTGCTTGAAATGGAACCCGAAACTCTGGAACTCGGCAGCCTCCAGTTCCCTTGAGTATGCGGAACAGGCCGCTCGGCTCAGCAAAAAGCAAGAACCTCCAGTAGACTAAGCTACAGCATGTATGGTATTAGGCACCCTTGCTCGAGAAATAGGGGGGGGGGGTGCTAAAATGAAGTCTAGTGGACGCGAGCTCTTTTCGGCCAATGATGTTGCCCTGGGGAGATGTGCGCTCAATCTCAGGTTTGACGGGCTAGAGGATCCCATCGCAACCGAGAATAGGTCTTCTTAGGAGAGACCACCTCCGTCAAAAGAACGAGGAAACTGGAACATCACGGATCCAAGGACCGGCGCAATCCGACATCGGGGTATTCATGTAGATGTACAAAGCGGAACATGTACGACATCGTGCATTAGAATGGGTGAACGTACCAGCCAGCCTCCAGGTCCAATCAGGAGGATGCGCGAGAGGTCGCCCTGGTTAGCTTTTTAGCCTACATGTTGTAATGTAGCATAAGCTAATCGATGAATATGGCAATACTTACTGGTTGTGGAAACAGAGCATGTTCGACAAGAAGCGGGTGGATCCGGTCAGTGATGTTGGCAAGTTCATAAAGTATGAGGCAACTTCCAATTGTATACTCGGACATGCAACAGGTATGCGGAACAGACTGTGGACCCCCTTTATGAAGCCACCTCTCAAAACAATGCCTTCCTGAATGGACCGACCCTAGACCCTTCAAACCCCATAAGCCTCTGCATGCCCGGGCCGTGCCGAGTTCCAGGTCCCTACTCCGCGCCTTGATGCACGAATCGATGAGATCGCCGGACAGCTTCACCTGCCAGACATGGCATGGTCTGCGTGGACCACCTGCGCAACAATGCTATAGGCCACTAGGCCCAGGGGGCGCCTCGTTGTTCCAGAGGTCCTGCAGCTCAATTTCCTCAGGTTCCACCTCTTGGCCTGCGTTGGCTTTGCAAGTCACGAATGGAAGCTGAGAGAATCATCCTCGCTTCTTGTGCCTGTGAAGGCATTCCGGGTCACTGCCAGGCGTCCCGTGAACGTGAGCAGATCCATCACCTGTCTCAAGGAGGAAGAAGCAAGTGAAAAGGTAATTTCCTATGCCAACAAGCCTGCAGCTGAACCATTCCGGCGACGGCGGTCCAGCCCCCCGGGTGCTCTGTGATGGCGGCCTCGATTTTCAGCTTGTCCTCAGTCAGTCTCTTCTTCCCAACAGGCCTACAAGAGAAATACCTGGCAGTTTGTTTGGGATCCTCATCCTAGAAGAGAGTTCGCCTCGGCTTCCTGCCGAGAAGCGTTTGGAACAAGCAGACCCTGGAACAAGCAGACCCGGATCCGGTGTCCTTCCCCCTAACCCAACCCTTCCCCCCCATGCCAAATTTTGTGCCGCCGTTTTTGGAACCCCCTCCCTCCTCTTTCCGCCGTTCCTGTCCTGGGCCGGCCCGACTGCCGAGGCGGAGCGCGCATGTTTACAATTAAGCCAAGCTTCCTCCGGCTCGGAGCACTGGGTGTCCTTCAGGTCCAGCTTTTGCAAGATCTTCAGGATCTCATCCATAAGCTTGGAGCTGCTGCCACGGCACAGCTGACCCTCTGAGCTGTACCTCCGAGATAAAGGCAGCCAGAAGCCGGGAGCCCCGCGAGGGATTCGACCGCCGGAGGAGACATTAAACAAAAAGGATGACAAAGACGTATGGAGGCTAGAACAAGAGAAAAAACTTTAGCAAACGGTATATGGCCAACGAAGTACGTCCAGATGTCTAAGGTACAGCAAGTGATCTGCCAAAGGGCAGGTCCAGCTTCAGGCCCAGGGCGTGGCAGCGGAAGACCTCGAAGACACACCAGATGCGCCTTTGTTCCCCGACACTCGGAAAACGTGAAAGGCAGCAGCCAAAACACACTTGGAAGTCCGGCACGCTCTGGACCCTTCATTCCAAGCACGTGCACAGGAGCGACTCCCCTCCTTCGCTGGCAACAGATCAGTGCTCCGCCAAGCCACTTTAGTGGGGTGCACGCTGCATCAATCCTCGGGAATGCCCGCATCTTCGAACACTACATCCTGTGCACCATCTGCGAAGGAAACGCAACCAAAAACAGCAAGCGCGCGGTACACTGCAATATGGTTCAGTATGAACAATGCAAGAGTTGGAAGTTACAATAGTCTGCTATAGCATTTGAAATCTCTCTTCTTGCATCTTGGAGTCTACTGCTATATGGGGGTTTACGAAAATAGGGAAACTAACATAAAACCCCAAATAACAGGATTCCCTTATAATGAAGTTCCCAAGAAGGTACCCCTGATATCGGAAACCCCCATATAGCCCCCTCTAGTGCCCGCAAGCTGGCAAGCCGAGCCCTGGGCACCATCACAGCCCCGTAGACCGGCTCTTGGTGGAGACGGTGGCCTCTAGAAGGGTGTCCTACGGGATTTATATTGAGGGTCCCCTTTTTGTCGAAAAACCCCCACCTGCGTTTGCGTTTCGTGTTAAGTCAGTCATTCAGAGAAGCGCTACCACAAGAGCCGGGATTTGGGTGCTGCAGACAGTGACATCCCAGGGCCGAGGGCTGCGCATGCAGCCACATACTCCAAAGCAAGGTTGAAGGGCGACTCTCTCCAGTCCGTGCCCAGGTCCTCGGCTCTCCACTTTAAACTCCTACCCTAACTTCGGTAAGTGGAAGTATTATAAGGGAGCGGCCACGCAGTGCTGATTGTTTGAAAACCTCAGATTTACAGTTTTGCGCAACTTGTCCGAGACTGTCTTGAGTCCATGAAGGCGGCAGCCAGGCAATCGCAAGGACAATTCAGCATGGGGGCCGGCACTTTGAAAAAAGACAGCAGACGCTTGCCAAGAGACGTGCAGATGTAGTACACAACCTTGCCTGTTCACGATGTTTCTGGGTACAGGCTTGCAATAGTGACCCGGTCGAGCATTGCTAGTGAAAGCTACTTGGACCTGCTATGTCGCAGAAGTCAGTTGTATAGGTCTGACAGCGGTGCGGAACAAGACAACCACTTCGTATGAGGGCGTCACAAAAGTGAAAGATCGCATCAAGCAATGGGATATAGAGACAAGCACACTCAAAGTTGCTCCGATGACGGAGTACGATGCTCGCAAGGCGAAAACCCGCTCCATGAAGGCTCCCTGACTCACCATATGTTCGGCAGCTAAGATCACGCTGCGTCCGGCACTTCACATATCCCGGGGCTGCTTCGAAAACCCCAAGCAAGCGAGAGCTGATGAGCTTGCCCGACCCAAGTGGAGGCCCGACATGTTGCAAAGGCAGCTATGATGCAGAAGGGAAAGCTCATCTAGGTGAAATCCTCTTGATGTTACTACCCAAGGAGATCGGTCCCTTCCGTCCTGGATCTGCGGGGTAGATCTTGCGGGCGTGCAGCAGCAGCGCCTCCTTGAATTGGAGTGTCTCCTGTCCAAAGCCACAGCTGTGCGCAGGGTTCGGATTCCTATACAAAGCCTTTTTAGTGTCTTGATACGCTGACCATTTCCTGATACAATGTGCTTCCCAGCGCATCCTTATGAAAAGCTGACATTCCGACAGATGGCAGGGGAGGTCCTCGCCCCAAAAATGGGAGACAAAACTCGAGAGGGGACCAAATTCGCCCTGCTCGGTAAGGTCCACGTAGGCGACCTCAAAAAAAACAGTCGAGACATGGAGATATGAATATCTAGAGCTTCGAAGTATAAGTATGAAGCAAACCAATCGTGAGCCCTAGTTCGTCAGGAAGTTAAAAAGCAACCTGAGGTGCTCCAGAAAGAGTTTCCAGGTTGAGAGATTGAGGGTCAAGGTCAAGGTGGAAAGCTACAATTGAGGATGCCTTCCCCTGCGAGTACACCGCGACTGCCCGGTTTAAGGAGCACATGGTCTGGTCTAGTACGCAGGAAACGAGGTCCGAGCCCTGGATGTTTGGGTTTGGGGCCTCAGCTGTAGGGTTTCGGTTTCGGTGTCAGCATCCAAGACGCCCCCTTCCGCAGAACGACGGCGGTCCCGGGCTTCTTCAGGAGCTTCTTCTTGCGCCGGGCGGAGGCCTCTCCCAGCTTGCAACCCTTCAGGAACTCAGGGATGGCAGCTGCGTCCTGCACTCCGGGAATGTAAAGGCCGCACGACGCCGCGAATCTCTTGTTGCATTCGATCTGAGCAGAATCCCCGATCCTTAAAGGCTTAAGGTGACAACAGCGGCTCTGCGCCCCGAGGGCCGAAAACGTTTTGGGTGGTATACAATGCAGAGCAGAACACAATGCAAACGCAGCGTGTATACCCGTATAAACTCTCGGATACGCAGGGCGATAATGCGCACTTCACAATGTAGCGGGTACATATGACCGGAGTCAGAGTTTCGGGGACCTGTCCTTGGTCTTCCGCCCATGCTTCGCACTCGTCTTCCAGTGCCGCTGCCGGCCCTGGGTCGAGCACGCCCAGAATCGGTTGGTAGAGCATACCAGCGTAGTAGGGTGCAGGACTGTCGAATGGTAATCTTGCATCCAAATCTGTGCAATCTTCCCTGAGGCAGGTACGCTTGCGATACTTTACCTCCATCAATTCCAGCGGAGGCGCCTCACCCTCGGCCCAATAGTCTTGACGCTGCTCTCCGCCCTCGCCTGGGCCAAACCAAAGCCCTCTACCGTAAAGAGGTGAAGCATTGTGTTCGATGCTGTTCTATATGGCGCCTACTGTATGCCCCCGATGTAGGATACCGTACGTGCTATAGTGTAGACCATATGGTACTGTACTTCCATAGAAGTATCATATAGGGTATGCTAAATGCCATCTCATAGATTGGAAAGTATTCCGTGTGCTCCAGGCTCACGGGCCAGAGCAAGCAGCACGCCGAGAGCATGGCACAGGATGCCTTCAATTGCGAAGCCAGCCTGAGCTCCAGGATAAAGGAATGTCTGATCGATGATCGGCTGTGCTATTCATCTTTCACTATCTGACAGAGTTCTGGTTCAATGTACTATCAGCAACATGTCTAGCGCCATACAACATGTATACTGTACCACTGTTGGTTTGATTCAAGTGATGTTGATCGATGGCCAATGACTAAATGCACAAATTCGATAACTGCATGATCTTGCGACATAATATATTACATTGCATACCATGGTAGAAACTGTGGATTTCGTCCTAGACGGATCTGCGTAAGCAACGTTCGAGAGGCAGCAGGGCCCACAGGACTTTGTTTCCTAGTTTCAAGGAGTCGCAGCTGTTTCGAGTCGCTTGGCCGGTACAGTATAGCCTCCGGCTCATGGTACAGCATGCCCGCTCGGTTTCACACCGACGACTAACAGTGACAGACCCGCGCTCGGGACTTTTTCGCTCGCAGGGAGGCTCGAGTGTTTGAAAGCCCGCTCCCATGCGAAACAGGTACCATGTAACTTGCTGCAGCTTACCCGGTCGGAGTTATAGAAGCGATTGGATACAATGCTCTCTAAACAGCTCTGCTTCACACCTCTGTATCTTAACAAGCGTACTATAGACGATCAGCACGTTGCCAACAGAATTCGGCATATCACTCTTGCATGAGGCATGAACATGATCTCCCCACAACGGCCGCCAGTGATTGCACCCGAATTGAGACTGACAGGTAATGCACAAGTCGTCGCAATCCAAACCAGCCAGAAGTAATGGCGGAATGCTGGTAGCGCCCCGTCTGCAAGGAAGACTTGTATTCCATACCACACCGTACTATTCCAAACCACTCGAACAGACTATGCTCTAGCAAAGTCGCTTACAAATGAGTCTACTCTGATGCGCTAGACTTTACAATGCTATTGCGCAGTAGTGGTTGTGCAAAGCTGCAACATCGATGTTTGCCAGTCGAACGCCCGGCCGGAACTGCAGAGTGCCGTCCTCGAAAAGCGGCCCGCCAGGCTCGTCCTTCTTGCCCGTGAGAGGACTTTGTACAGCATAATGCAGGTTAGGGAAGCTAATGCTGCATATCACAAGCACAGCATATTGTACTGAACATTGGTGCGATGTAATACACCAAGCACACCACAGAGGTTTGTCCTTCTCGCTGAGGGACATGGCAATCTTGGCCGCGTCCTCCTCGGAGAGCACCAGAATCTCCTCTTGGCCTCAAGTTCTCAGGGTTATTGGGGTTCAGGGTTTAGGGCTACTCAGCACAGCACAATTTGTAACCTCCCAGCACCTGCCACCCAACCCAACCTTCAGCCAAGGAGCAAGTGGTCCACGCCTGGCGGCCACTTGCAGGACACTTCCAAAGAGGAGTCATGTGCTTCACAATCCATCCTCAAGCTGGGGCCCGGGCAATGATGCGCTGACATAAGTCATACATGTTGCGCCGGCCGCTGCCTCGGCAAGTATCCTCCTCCAGCCACTCCCTGTTGTCCTGTGTGGCTACATACGCCCTAAACCCTAAAAGCCGAAACCCGAAACCCTACACCCTAAACCCTCAACCCTAAACCCTAAACCGTGGAACTGGGATCAACCACGGAACTGCAAGGCTCCTCAACGAGGTCGTCGACGTCTTGCATACGAATGCCCTTGGGGGCCTCCATGCCGGTCAAATGCTTCTGAGCTGCAACAGAGCACACTTCTCCCAGTTGGGATGTAGGAAGAACACACACGCGGCCCCAAACTTACACGGGAAAAGTCCCCCTTCTCACTTGAAACCTCCACAACAATCTGCACAGAATGTCAATGAATACACGTCAGTACAATTACGGCAGGTACTGCAGAATACCTCCAAGTAAGCGTTTACAGTACAAGTACAGCGTAGGATTTTGCGAGACACCGACATTTGTTCAAGCGCCTTCGCCCGTGCCGCTTGCACCTGGTGCAGCAGAGCGGATCTTCCAGGGCGCTCCAAAAGGCGAAGCCCTAAGCCCTATAGAACCTGACGCCCTGAAAACTCTAATCTTCAGAGTGCCCTCACCCTTACAACCGAAGACAGTGAGTAGAGTTTTTGTTTTGAACATGGCTCTTCGGGGTTGTATTTGTATTTGTGTATGCCTGGGCCGACATGGCAGATGCCTTGCAGAAGCTGAGCGCCGGCCAAAAGTGCAAAGTATGATAGATGACATACCAGAGGAAAAAATACGGACAATCCAAACACTAGAGGAAACCGTGAAATATGGCGTCTGCTGCTTTAAATGGGACGATCAACGCACGATGCCAAACGGTACAGTGCCAAACGGTACAGCTGTCCTTGACGATACCCTACCCTCTCTGAGCCCTAAGCCCTGGCAAATCTTAGAGTTAAGGATGTACGGGTGATTACAAAGCTATGCTCCCTAGCCTCGGAAACACGTGGCCTGCAGCCGTCTGAGCTAGACCATGTACCCTTTGCTCAGCAGCATCTGGAAATCAGCACGCACTTAGTATACTGGAAAATACTATGCCATCTTGTGTCTACTCCACGGTAAGGCCTGTACGCTACAATTTCTGCGTACATGAAATGTAGAAGAATCTGGCATCCGGCATACCATCTACACCAAAGCTCCTTCGATACTGTTCTGCTGATGCTCCGCCTCGAGCATGGCGCGGTTTTCTTTGAGGCTGCACAGGCGCTCCTCTGCCTGAAGCATGCTCTTAGAACTAGGGATTCGCGCTTAGGCTATCGACTATTTTGGGTTAGGTTCTTGGGGGTTTAGGATGAAGAGGCAACATGTTTCTTCATGACATTGCCTGACAAACTCCCCGGGCCATTGCATGCGCCTGGCGAAGCACGTGGATCCGCCCAGTTTGGTCGGCACTGCCAGCCTGCAGCACTTGTAAATCCTATAAACTCCCAACCACTACACCCTGGACCAGACTGAGACCGGGTTGAGCGCGATTCCAAGCACAGAAATTCCTGCCCTGGGTCAATACAAATAACTATATATATATATATCTATCTATCTATCTATCTATCTATCTATCTATCTATCTATCTATCTATCTATCTATCTATCTATGTGTGTGTGTGTGCGATGTGCCAGGGTCTCTGGTGAGCTTTGTTCAGGCCTATCTGAGTACTATATACACCACTATCACAGCTGCACCAGAAAAATGGCTACTACTGACTACTGCTATCGCTTACTGGTGTGTTGCTGTTGCCATTATTCATGGTTGCACCGTTACACTATTACACCCACTTCCCCCGCCTTCGATGACTCCGTGAGCTCTTGGAGCTCACGGGAGCAGACCGCAGAGAGGACATCAATGGCACCCTGCAGGCTGAAACATGCAGGGTTTTGGGTTCAGGTCTTGGGCTTTGGGGTTTGGAGTTTGGGTTTATGGTAATGTCGCAGTGATGATACGGAGCAAGGGTGATGGCTGAGGCCCTGCCTGCATCTTCATATCAAGCTGCTGAACCTGCCCAACAAGCCGTCTTGTGGTGAGCCCAGTGGCTCTTGCACGTCACCATAGCTTATAAAGTGCTTTCCCCTGAGTACGGCACTGTCTCAATCTTAGGCCACACTGCAAAAGAGGAGAACACAAGTAAGCGCCCATAACTCGGACTTGCATCTCGCAGCACGACTCTCCCAGCAACCTCGAACCAACAAGCAGCCATGGCCCGACTGAATGATAACCTGTACATCTAAACCAGCAAGACTAGCATAGAACAAACATAAGGCAAGACAAGGCGGGGCCTCTTCCGTTCCTAATCATAGAGTCCCGTCTAAACATAAATTGCCTAGTGCTCGATCTATCCACTGTTGACAGTATGTACTCAGTACACTACAGTATGCATGGATGGCCTCTGTCGCAGCATCAGCAAGAACTCAGCGGGATCGTGTCTGCTGTAAGCTTCGGAAATCTTCAGAACTTAAAACCTCTAGGCTCTGCACATCCTTCTCCATGCCAACCCTTCAGCCCCAAAACCGAAAGCCTAACCACTCTGGTCCTGTGGGCCTCCGTACGCTGATGGAAAGCCTCTCGAACCATCTGGGCCATTCGGCCTAAAGCAGCTCGGGGCCATGCTACTACAAGTAATTGCCATGACTGACTACTATGAAGCATACTTCATAGCTTGCTACATTACCGTACTGTTCTTGCAGCTGTTGCTCTATTATGCTCTGTTGATTCATACTCCCTCACCTCGTCCCCTCGTCCCCCTTGAAGATTCATGGGAAGTTGGCCTGTGCTGCAGCCGAGGGTGTTCGCAACCCCTCGAAGTAGCCATACGTACCCTTCCCAAATTCCTCCCTTAGTTTCAGAAGCCTTGGGGTCTGTGCGTGCTTGGGTTTAGGATTCCGGTTTTGGGGCTTGGGGGTTTTGGGAGATTAGGGTTCGGATAAGTTTGGAAGTCCTCCTCCTTAGGAGTCCTCCACCACAGAACGCCCATTTAGAGTTCAGGGGTTTATGAGGTCATCTACATCCCACACCGCGGCCGAACCGGACGCTGCAAGGGCGCATGGTTTACATCAAGAGGCGTATAAAGAATTTAGAGGCATTGGAAGGCCTGCGCTGCGCTTGAAGGCTTAGAGCTGCTAGGGTTGAGAATTTAGGGAAGGGGAGGCTTTAGGATGGCAAATAGGTCTGCTTGAAGGTCGATGGAAAGTTGCAAGTAAGTGGGCTCTGAAATCCCTCAAAAGGATGATGCACAGCTCCCATAATACTTACGTGTACCGACATCCTCAAGAACTTCCCAGTGAGCGCCTAGAAGGCTCTGCCGGCGTGTGCCCGCTGTGGTCTGGTTTTGCGGCTCATCATTGGACCTGACCATCAAGACTGTGGGTTTGCAAGTTCTCTATATCCTCTACTACACGACGCTCCAAGAAGAGTATACAATTATATGCGCACATGCCACAGATCACAAGTGCGTGCTTGCACGCGTGCGTGATCAAGCCCAAAAAATAGCCCTGAGCATCAAGCCTCAAAGCCCAAAGCCCAAAGCTCCTGCATACAACATGAAATTAGCTGAGGCTTCAACGGAAAGCTCTGCAATCCAGCTTCGGGATGGCATGGGCTCACCTCCATGCAACGCTCAACCAAAAACGGCGCCGACATGATAGTGTATTTCGACATAAGGAAACACTTCGTGAGCGCAATATATAGACAGGATACAAGAAAACATGGCAGAACTTACACCACTCACTCCCCCTGCCGCCTCCACATCAGCGTCATTGGGAACTCCAGGCAGGCTGACCTCTCAGAGTTTAGGGCTTGTGGGCTTAGGGAACTACACGGAAGACCTGGCCAAACCTTGACGCAAACTATGGACCTTTCACCACAAGAGCCCTGGCAGCATAGCACCTGCAAACAAGCAGGCTCCATCGCTGCCTGAAGACCTCGGGTCGAGATGCGGCTGAATAGTGGCAGGTCTTTTGCCCAGGTAAACACTGAAGCCTGCACCCTGAACCCTCAACCTTTCATCCTACGCCCACGGACAGGCTAGTCAAAACCCAAGCAGAAGATGCGCTTCACAACGATAAGACTACGAGTTTGTCACCCCATTCGTCCCGGGTTGTTGCTTGATGTGTTCGATACTGCAATGTATATCGTGTCCAGCCTGTGGGGCCTCGGCTAGTGCGGTGCTCCTTCTGTTTGCTCGTGGTGTGTGGGCGTGTGCGTGCGGGACGACCCTGCAATTTTGGGCCACTGATTCATAAGCTACTCTATCTACGCCTATTCTCCGTCGGCTTGATTCCCCTGCTTAGTACCCTGCATGCGGGATGAACTGGGGAAGAGCTGTGGATCTGAGAAGTTGGCTATCTTGCGCAGTGTTCAACCTCACTCAACCAGGTTGTAGCTTGCTTCAAGGCTGTTCTTGCTCTCTGGCCAAACAAGTAAGGGGGTAACGCAATTCACGACACTATAGCTTTCTACGATGCCTCCAGAACCTCTCCCCCAAATTCCCACAGCTGACCTTATGGAGGGGCCGGGAATCAAGCACCGAGCTGAAGCACGCTATCTCTATAGAGTACTTGGCCCGCCCCCACACCCCATGCCCCACAGCCATGAACCCAAAACCCTCAATCCACTACACTCCTCGTGCAGTCCATGCCACCGGGCCGCTGGCGCTCCAGCCGATGGGGACAGACAAGGTAAAGCCAAAATGGCTGCCAGCGGAAGGGCTCAAGGGACCAGACTTGGAACTGGCTGGTCCTGTGTACGGCGCTTGGATGACTATGGTAGAGTGTTTATGGTTCAGGTGGTTAAACGGCTTTGAAGGTTTAGTGCGTGCTCGTGACCAAGCTGCTTGGAGACAAACTGGAAAGGGCCGACACCAACAAACCGAAGGTCACCTGATGTGCGCACTTGCGCAGTCAAGGTCTTACACCGAACAGGAGGAACAGGAACCCGAGAGACCTCATAGACGAAGCCTAGGCAAACAGGAGCCGTTTCTGCTATGGGACTCATTGCTATTCTGAAGAAAACATGCGAGAGACTTCTATTCAAATATCAAATCATCTTTGAGCAGAAGCAACCATCCACAACAAGTGACTATGAATCCGAGATCGGCAGGCATGCCATCAAAAAGGGTTGCCAACAAAACAGTGGACCTATTTTGGGGTTTCTACAAAACGGACTCTTCGACATGCACCATCCCGGTGAGGGGTGCCTTCCGCTAACCGCCCCAGCCTAGGATAGAATTTAACAGACAGTGTATATAAAGCCGTGTAGGCGAAGTGGAAGTGGTGGTGGTGGTGGTGGTGGTGGTGGTGGTGGTGGTGGTGGTGGTGGTGGTGGTGGTGGTGGTGGTGGTGGTGGTGGTGGTGGTGGTGGTGGTGGTGTAGTCGGGCGAGCGTTTCTTTCCGAAGAACCCTTCGCTGAAGCTTTAAAGAAAATACTGACATACAGCATATATACATATAATGCGCATTTCCAACCTGGCCTTGAACCCTCTGCGGGGATGGTCCGTGTCGAAGCGCTCTCGCTGTGCGCTGTTGCGCATTCTCAACCTGGCCACCGGGATCGCGTGTCGAAGCACTCCCGCTGTGCGTTTTCGCGCAACCTCTCTTCTTCCTCTCCCGCTTCTCTTCCTCTCCCCTTCTCTTCCTCTCCTCTTCTCTTCCTCTCCTCTGCCTCTCCTCTTCCTCTCCTCTCCCTCTCCTCTTCCTCTCCTCTTCCTCTCCTTTGTCTCTTCCTCTCCTGTTCTTCTCCTCTTCCTCTCCTCTTCTTCTCCTCTTCCTCTCCTCTCCTGGTAGCTGGAAAGTCGACTTTTGTAGCACAAACGTACTACGCCGCGGACCCCCGGAGCGTGGGTGGCTGGAATAGTTGCCCTGGTAACCCTGCTTTTTTCCACCCTCCGGTCGACATGAAGCGATGTATTTTCACACTTTGTAAGGGTCTTGTTGCAGGACCGGGCTAACCGTTCAGCCCCTGCCTTCGGCAGAGAGGCTCTCGGATCTGAGTGCAAGGCCTAAGACTTCTATTAGGGTTTAGGGTTTAGGGTTTAGGGTTTAGGGTTTAGGGTTTAGGGTTTAGGGTCATTTGTCCATCTCCCAAGTCACCTTCTCGTCTGATTGGACAGCGGAGGCGGCCGCTTTGAGCGCAAAGCAGCACCAGAAGCAAGTGCCACAAGCAGCCAGGCAGAAAACGATCACGATGATCCTCGAATCTTTCACTGGAGTCATGGGGCACCCCCGCTGCAGACTTTACTACAAGACCCTGCGCCCCTGAGCCCTAAACCCTAAACCCTAAACCCCAAACCCTGAACCCTAAACCCTAAAGCTCCAAGGCAGCAAAGGGACACCAGCGACCTTTCCTTGGCTCAGGTTATGAAGTGTGAAGATGCATGGGGTATGTGGTCAGAAGCGCCATCCTGTTTTGCTGAGTCTATACTCCCCTTAGAAGCTTAGCAGAATAGTATTTCTAATACCCTCTTGGGCTTTATACAAGCAAAAATAAATAAATAAAATCCCAAGGGGGGTGTAGGAGTGCTTACTTGAAGCTACTCAAGTGCAGCTTGACGGCGTGTGGAGCTTGGCCAAGATCAAAAGTTGAGTATGTCAGCTGTGAGGCGACAACGAAAGGGTCCTGGCAATAGGCCGCCACTCTTTCTCACCCTCCCCCCTCCCTCTCTGCCTTTTGCGTTAGCAGAACGAGGCAGTGCCTGGCTGTGCCGAAATGTGAGCTCCGTTTCACCCAGAATTTCCAGCATTGCAGATTCTGACCTCGACTAGCAGCTAGCAGGGTTTCGGAAGGGTTAGCCTGCCCAGCAGACGCTTCAGCAGCTGCAATGCAAAATCCTCACAAATGCGAAGAATGTAGCTATACTAGCATTGGCCCCCAAACGCTCATGAGGCCAGCCAGCATCACACAAGGTCCCCAGCAATACCATCCCGTTCCATCCCGTTCCCAAGCTGACAAAGGATCAGGAGGAAACTGGACGAGGACTGGCGATTTCCCGAACCCCCGACAGCACTTATCTGGTCTTTAGCAGAAACCTAGAACCCTACAGTAAACTGTTTGGGGAATGAAGCAGGTAAGCAGCGTCGGCCACGCATCCAAAGAAGCGCCAGTCATGTGCTGGATGAATTTCTGACCTAGCTTGCTCAACACAACTTCAACACGGACTTGCCATGCAGCCTGCAACATATTCGTCTGTCGTCTTTGCCAACAGATTGGCAACCCTCCAGCTGAGAACCACGCCAGAGTCGTCCACGCCCACTGTGCACCGAAAGGGGTAGTCCGAAGTCATGGGATTCACAGACTCGTGAGGTTGCGGCCATTGCCTGGAACCAGACATCGTGCAACAAGCATGCGTGGGAATGGCAACTCATTCCTGAAGCACGCTGTGCGGCACGTAGAGGCAGAACATGGAGCATGCAAGGCAATGCATGCAGTTGAGGCACATGTTGGCAAAGTCAAAGGTCTTCTCGGCCTCCAGGCTTGGCTGCATCACCCAGCATGGCCTGCAGGCTTGAAAGCAGTCTTGCAGCTCCATTGCTTAGCCCGTCTTGATGTTATCGCTTCTCGTGCCCGCAGTCTCATGCTTCTAAGGGGCGCCATCTCATGGGTTGCGATGGCAAGACGATGCTGCGCTTTGCATTGCATAACCTCGTCATCCATTGGCCGTCCTGCAAGCACCACTGCGTCGTCAGAAACATTGGCCGAGCCAGCGACAACCCTAAACCCTAAGCCCTTAACCCTAAACCCTATGTAAACCAAAACACCCTAAACCCTAAACCGAAACCTTGCAGGTCATCGCAGTTTCGCTGTCGATTGCGACGCGGGCAATCGAAATCCTGAAGCGGCAGCTTGTGACATCAGGACTAGCATGAAAAGCAGCCAGAAACAAGAGAGCTCCTGAAAGTTGGGGACCATCAGTTTGTGAATACTGGCACCCCTCCCCCCACATGACTTACTGTTCGTTAGCAGGGAATGAGGGAACCAGGGCCCTATACATACCCTTTAACGGATTGTCTAGGGTACCTCATTCCTCCATTCCCAACGACCCAACAGTAAGATGAAACATTTTAGGGTTTAGGGTTTAGGGTTTAGGGTTTAGGGTTTAGGGTTTAGGGTTTAGGGTTTAGGGTTTAGGGTTTAGGGTTTAGGGTTTAGGGTTTAGGGTCTGCAGCTTTCCGCATGCTTCAGCAGCCCGAGAGCTGGCAGGTGAGAACCCCTGGCCCCAAAGGTCACCAGGCGAGTCAAGCTCCTTAGTTGGGATGTCCTCCCTTATGCTAACAGCTCCTTAACACGGATGCTAGTAGGGGATACTAGAATCCCTATTAAGGAGCTGTTGGTAAAAGGGAACATGTTCAGCTCACTCGGGTGAAGGAGGTGAAGGGCTGCAAGCTGTGAGGCCCACTGGTCGACCACGAGCTTTTGTTGACATAAACTAGGGGTTGGGGGTTTTAGGGTTTAGGGTTTTAGGGTTTAGGGTTTTTGAGTTTTAGGGTTTTAGGGTTTTAGGGTTTTAGGGTTTTAGGGTTTTAGGGTTTTAGGGTTTTAGGGATGTGATCGGTAAGGGGGGTTTGCCCATGCCGATGCGCTGGGAAAAGCTCTTCATGGCCCTGCCCAATGCAACCCCCGACAGGCTGCTGCAAAGATGTGATGCCAACACCGCTTTTGGTGCGAGCGGAGGGCTCCGCAGTTCGCATGTGTAGCTGTCACACCCCAGGCCGCCGGCCGCATACAAAAAAACCCAAGACCCAAAACCTAAAGTCCCCAGCCCAAAAACCTCTAAATCTTCAACCCAAAAACCGCAAAACCCTGAACGCCCCTAACCCTAGACCTTGAATTCCAACAGGCCCCCAGAACCCCTGAACCCAAAGCAGATGATGTTGCTCAACTGTCTGGAAAACAGACGGTTTGTAGGCAACTTGGACGTGGTGGAGCACTGCAGAGGGGTGGGTGCTGAGAATTTCCGGATTTTGGACCGGAAGCCATCGAATTTTTCAGACATCTTCGCCGAAGTCGCCAGGAAATACCCGCGCCAACTTGAAGCTGAGGATCAAAACGTGTCGACACAAACTCAAGAAAGGAATGAGTGTTTGCCACAGAGCAAAACAAAAACAATTCAGTCAGCATATAAAGGAGTTCTGCCGAGCCACAAAAACATCACGCATTACGTCGCGTTCGCGTCAACCACGAACCAATGCGGGGTATTGCGCGGTAGTGATATCAGGCGACGCAGGAACAGTTGATAGGTTGGGTTGGCAAAGGTGATTTGTTGCATGCGAAAATGATTCCTGTGCAACTATTGCTTACCTAAAGCCAATACAAATCTGAAGCCAAACCGCTCAATCCTCAAGCCCCTGAAGCCCCTGAACCTTGTAGAAGCCTACAAGGCCTCGAAAACCAAACCTTTCATGCATTCAAATACCACACCTGAACCAGCATTCTGAGTCCACAACCGCATGCAACATCACGAACATAACTGCTCATGCACTCGTTTCTTGCCACTCGTCTCGTGGCACGGGGGTGCTGAGCAATGCCCGCAACCCCTGGCCTTTCTTGCTTGGTGCGTGTTTTCCGGGAGGCATGAGTGGACATTGGAAGGGTCCAGGATTCAGAAGACCCGGCACCAGCATCATGAATGAGCATCAGCGCGATCCGTTCCTCCCGCGGCCTCGTTTTGCAGTGGCCCTGCCCTTAGGAGTTGGTAACGGAACAACGCTAAACTTCTGCGCGTGGTCCTGAACTACGCAGGATCAGCCAGAGCGGCGTGGGGGGGCGCACAGTGCGGATTTGAACCCAACAAAAAAGGCTGTAGGCAGTTTGGGGAGGCAGCCTACATTCGGCTTTGTGGCCGGGCTCGTGTGGGGGGCAGCAGCGACTTCCTCTCAAGCTTTTGGTGCCCTATCACGATCTCTCCTGCCTAGAGGTAAAATCAGGAGTAAGATGCAGCTTCAGCGTTCTTTTTGTGTGCCCTCAGAACGAAGCTAGCAAAAGCTGAGGTCGTCACGGCTGCCATGAGGCCATGCCGAATGCCCAATGCCAAGCGATGCACGATGTTTGCTCTAAAAGCACCCGAAAAACCCTGCGGTCAGCCGCTTGTCCCACCCTCCTGTGGCCATGTCAGGGTTTTAGGTAGTTTCACAAATTTTGTTATTGATCAAACCCATCGGCAACAAGTCTTCCAAACCATAAATGGAAACATGAAGTGCTTGGGTGGCAAAGAGGCTTGTGGCGTAGCTTGAACGAACAGGCTACTTTGAGACTGTATTGACTCAGATTAGCATGCTCTTCACCGTTTACAACCAAGGCTCTGCTCCCATGCCGCACTTGCTGCTGACAAAATCAGAATCAACCATGTCCCAAACACGCTCAGTGAGGATCTGCACCACAGCCTCGTCACAACAAAATCCAACAAAATCAACGGCGGCGGCAAGCACTTCGTCCACTTGCCACTCAACCAGTCTAGGAAAAACGATGGCATGCCCACCTGCCCGATGGTTCGGCTGAATGCCCTACCAGGCTCTTTGCCGACGAGCTCTATCGTATACAAGGACTCCAACACCTGACAAGAGCAGTGTGTGCCAGGCACCGTTCCAGCAACAACATACACGAAATGGCTGATGAATCCTTGACAGTGTCCAGCCGCTGCGGGCGAGGAGCCGGCGAAGGTATCAGCTCCGACACATTGCAACGAACCGTTTTCACCTCGTAGTCGCTGCACATGCCCCCAGATCTTTCTGACCTGAGTCTCGGGTCCCACCATCCCACCCCTGAATCCGCTGATTCACATGCAACGTCGGCTGAGGGTATCTGATCCAACTTAGGCACACATTCTGGTCATAGACGTTGGGCACAGACGAGATTGTGCATGGAACTTCGGGGCCTGCTGCCCCCAAGCGGGCAGAAAACAAGAAGTTGTCTAATTCCTCGGTCACGGGTCAGGAACCATTGAAACATGACTCATATGACCTTCCTGCTTGCACAGGCTCGTTTGCAGTGGTCTTCCAAGACTGGACAGCCGCGCAGTAGGTCTCAAAGCGGGCACGTCGGCCGTCGCCTGAACCCCACATGTTCTCTGCTTCGAAAGAATGTTGGGGAAGCTTGGAAAGAAGAAACAGCCTTTGGCCTTACTTTTTTTGGGCCACGGGCCTGTTGCATCGTGGTTGTATGCAATCAAGTTCTCTGTGGCATGGTAGTAAAGGAAGCCGGAGATGCCCCCTGCGCCCAAGCCTTGCATGCTTCTCGTTTCAACAGCTTAGAGCCATGACTTCATGTCTCCACCTGACACATCCAAGTTGCAGAGCACGGTGTAGACGCCCACAATGCAATGCTTCTTGCGCATCACTGGAGCAGCCCTTCCGACCAGTTGAGCCGAAAGCCATGAACGCATGAAGCTGCTGCTTGGAAAACGTCAGAGCTTGTTTTTGTTCACGATGATGCGGTGTGTTCTGTAGCCGCGCTGACTACTCAAGTGCCAGCGCAGATAGGGGGTCCATTGAGATCGCAGATTCGCAGAATGCACGGTGACCGACCCCAAATGCAAACTGAATAAGTGCACGACATGCTTGAATTTAATGAACGACGTTTTCCCCGAGGCTCTTTCTATGTTTGAGTATCGCGGGTAATAATATTAATCAAGAGAGTGAATGAACTTGATTACAAGCGAAATAAGATGCAGCGCGTGAAAATAATAATCAACGAACAAAACCATTCTCAGTTTTTGGTGCAGAAAAAAAGCTCGAGAACACTTGAAGATGCAACGCGTTTTTGAAAAATTGCTTGGTGGAAACTGCAGCTTGGAAAAGCTCACTGCTTCGAAACAAGTGTCTTTAAAAGCCTCTGACAGTGCCGTTTGGACAGAATTCAACTGCAGGACGAGACGAGTTCAACTGTACTGCTGATACGACAATTTTGCGCGCGACGCCCGAACCGAACCGTTTTGGAGAAGGCAAGTGTCTTGCCACAATGTGAATAAGTGCGGGCGAAGCGAGCGAAACACCGGAGTACATCTGACATGTGGTTGTTGTCAGGTGTTGTTTTTGATGGTTTTTTGGACATCCTGTGCGAGTTTGACATCTCCTCTTTTTTTGGAAGAAGTTCAGCTTTTTTTTGCCAGCCTTGCCCGATAAAGTGGCCAACTTGTTTCTTTATGCAGCGTGGGTGTGTGTGTGTGTTGTGGTTTTGGCTGTTTGTAAGTGTGTGTATGTGTGTGTGTGGTGACTGGAGTGTGGGTGTGTTGTGTCTGTGTGTGTGCAATCGTTGATGCAAAGTGGTTTGATGGGTGGATGTGTGTTTGTGCTTGTGGGTTCTGCTGTTCAAGTGTGGCAAGGAAGTGTGTCAATGTGTGAGTGAAAAGGGTGTGGGTTGGAGACCCAAAAAAAAGTTGCAACAAAATCAATCAAAAAGGTAGAGAAGCTGAAGTGACCTCGACAGTAATGCTGTGAGTTCTGTGAAGAGCGTGGAGATGTAGATGTTTTCTTTTTGCTAAAAATGATTTACGCTGTGGAGGGATATGAATATCCAAATCCACATTCCTTTCCACGCACATGCGTAGAATGATTTTTTACAGCAACCTTTAGCTCAAATTCTCACCCTCCCGCTCGGCCAACTGTCTTTCTTCACCTCGCGTGCTTGAGCAGTACGCAGTGTGAAACATGCACGTAGTGGGCAACAAGGCAAGATTTGTTACACACCCATCGAGTTTTGTGGTCTTTTTTAACAACTCACCCCGTACTCTTGTCAGATTTCCTTTTCACAGTCCTTTTCGACTCGTATATAAGTGTACTGACATCTCATTTTGTGCTCCCCAGCACCATTTTGGTCTTCGTCATAGAGTCATAGGAGTGATTGTCGGCTCTTTTTGCCTTCTTTCACGTCTTGCTGCAGATTGCAAACGTGCTTTCATCATCACTAGGTCATCTTTTCTCTCACGGCGTCCTGGCCTCTCGAGCATTGAGGGGCATTGATCATCCTTTTCACTTCTCGCACACCATGGGAACTTCTTAGCTTCTTCTTTTTCGTCCTTCTTGATTTTTTTCTCCTTGTCTCATGCAACTCAGCCTGATTGGCTAGTACTTCGTCGTTCCTTCGCCTTTGACTCAATTCTCCTGGCTGCCACCGCCTTTTCCTTCTTCTTCGTGTTCTTTTCCTTCGTCTTTGCCTTAGCTTCCAGAATCGAAGGTTCCGACTTCTACCTCTTCTGCTGGCTCCTCTGGCTTTTTGCTTTCCATGACCTTTGCAGGTGGCGTTTTCGGAACTCGTGCTCCTCTCCTTGCTTCAAGTGTCAGTTCCTCGGCATATCAGTACCCAACGCCATCGGCTTTGCACAGTGCGATTGCTTGGCAGGAATGCAATATCAGTGACTTGCTGCTCCGGACTGTCCGTGCTCCAAGGCATGCCTCCATCACCAAAACTGTAGAAAGCAGTTATTCCCGAATGTGGAACGCGTAGCCACTCGGAGCGGTGTAGACAGCCCGGCGCCTGTCACGAACTGACATAAACGACAAAAGGTCATGCAGAGATAGAACGCACTGCACTTCCTGACGATGTCGCTGCCAGGCTGCCAAACAACTTCCAGCATCAGCACCATGAGCAAGCAGAGACATAGCCCAACCGAATCCCAATGATCAATGAGATCCAAACGCATGTTTTGCAACATAGCACGTGCGGCAACACGTCAGTGGACATGGTGACAACCATAAGGAAAAACTGATCGAAGACTGAGAGTTTGCTGAGGCTCGCAAGCAAAAACGGCGCATTTACGCAAAGAAATGTTCAAACTGTCAACGGAAGTTGAAGGCACAGTTTGGGCACACAGACACCACTTGGTCACTTGGTATTTATTTTGAAACGGGCGCCTCTTTGCTACATCAGCAGCAGTGGAGTTCTTGTGAAACTTGCAACAAGCACAGCAACAAAGAAAGAAGAACGGTCGCATACTGATAGTGAAACACCCTCTCAGCAAAACCCCTCCCTCAAAGGCAGAAGGGCTACACCACTAAAATTGCCGTTCCAGAGACTGGCTATGCTATCTTGGCAGCATTTTCGGATAATTGCATTTCCATGGAAGCAGGTTGCGCCTGAATGATTGAACGAAACAAGTGAGCCGACCTGGACAAGTTGGCAGTTCACCGCACTCTTTGAGATCTTCCCACACAGTAAAACCGGCACGTGAAGAAAGGGAAATGAGTGTCATGCGTCCCACACCCGGTCAGTATTCATAAAGCGTGAACAATGTGAACGCAAAGAATCGAATAATAAGTGAACGAAGTGAACCCCAAAAAACCCAATAAATGCACTATAAGCGTGCTGTGCGCATGAATTAGTGCATTTGTTGGAGCTTTTGGTATTGTCTTCGTGTTCTCCTTAACTCCCTTTTCCCCTGTTATCTTCTTTCTTTCGCCAATTCACAGATCACGCGTTCATTTCATTCACTTGTATCTGTTGAGATTAGTTGAAAGAAGATAATAGTGTTTAAGAAGCGCATAAAAGAGAATACAAAGAGCGCCCCGTCAAAACTCCTGCTGGGGTATCTATTGTTTCTTGCTTGATGAAGGACCCCCATTGCATTTTTAACCCCAGTCGTGTTGGCAATTTCTTCAGCGTCTTTTTTGCGCTTGTATGTCGCCAGGAAGGTGGAAAGCGGGCAAGTTCGCTTCTAGAAGGTTGCTGCCACCGCATCGGACAGAAATTGTAAATCGGTCATCCATCGCAAGATCACAAGAGCACAAGAAAGCTTCCAGCAGGAAGGATTGGCCGAACGTGCCCATGGTGGTCAGCCAGTGGGGAAGCCAGTGGGGACGTCAGGCAAGCGAGCTGAAAATGGCCAAGCAAACATGGTTGCAGCAACCGTCGCAGTAGTTCTGAGAAGAAGAAGTAGTAGTGTAGTGGCAGTACTTGTAGTAGTAGGAGAAATAGTGGTAGTAGTGGTAGTACTAGCAGTAGTAGTGGTAGTAGCAGTAGTAGTGGTCGTAGTAGTAGTGGTAGTAGTAGTAGTAGTAGTAGTAGTAGTAGTAGTAGTAGTAGTAGTGGTAGTAGTAGTAGTAGTAGCAGTAGTAGTAGTAGCAGTAGAAGTAGTAGTAGTAGTAGTAGTAGTCGTAGTATTAGTAGTAGTAGTCGTAGTCGTAGTGGTAGCAGTAGCAGTGGCAGTAGCAGTAGCCGTAGCAGTAGCAGTAGCAGTAGCAGTGGGGGGGGGAGGGGGGGATAAGAACTTCATTCATATTGCGTCCATGCACAGACGACTGGTATTTAAAGTGTACAACATACTGCACAAGGATGTGGAACAAGCAAATTCATCACAAGCGGCCAGTCTTTCGCGACCACATCCAAAACACTGGTATTTCCTGCGTTTTATGCCCAAAACACTGGTATCTATATCGTTTTCGCCTCTTGTGTGCAACATACTGCACAAGGATGTGGAACGGAAAAATTTGTTACTAGCGTTCATGCTTTTCGCGACCATGCCCAAAACACTGCTATTTACAGCGTTCTGTGCCCCAAACACTCGTACTTACAGCGTTGCACAAGGATATGGAACAAGAAAACCCCAAGCGTTGAATCCTAAACACATCAAAAATCATGACCCCGAAAGTAGTTTGGCCGTGCATTTGCGATGTGTCTTAAAGAAGGGAAAAGCACGAAACACCGAGAGGGTGCTCACTTTTCGATTAGGGCAACAAACCTGGAGTAGGGATGCCCCCAGATCGTCGTCGCATTCGCTCCCAAATTCGTTTCGTCGGCTGATGCTTAAAGTCTTGCCGCCGAGGACAAGATTCGGAGATAACTGGATGCAAATCAGGAAAGGTCTCTGGTCAGCAGCACGCGACCCTGCCCTGGCGCTCCATGTTGTTGACCCGCCTTTTTTTTTGGACTGGCGCCTCTTTACTACATCAGCAGCACAGTAGGCCGTTCTTGTGGGTCGAAAGGACATCTACTTTGAGAGCCAAACTGTACAAGCCAGCGTGTGAAAAAGAAGTCGTGACTACAAAGAAGCAACCGCTAGCGCAGAGGCCCTTATTGCAAGACAACTTAACGCACGGCCAGCATGGTGAGACCAATGCAAACAAGAACCTACCTGCACCAATTACTCAGCAGCCCGTCACCCAAAGCAATGCTGCGCCACGTCTGGTACAGACATTAAGCGAAAGTATGGGTAGGCCGTAAGGCAAGGAACCTCCGTCACCTAAACTGCTCAACGCGTCCGTAGAGACAGTCCCCACACAAGCGCCAGGGCCGTAGCAATAGCACTCAGGACTCCATTGTAGGTTGGCAAGAAAGTTGCAAACACACTAAGCACAAAGCACACAGAGTGCCAGAAGAGGCGCCCCCTTCCCCCCCGACGAG